GTGTCCTTCTGAAGGAGAAACCACAGCTACTCAGGGTTACAGACTCTCATCGCTGGAAGGGGTTGAATCCAACCCACTCATCTCAAAGAAGACAGTGGACTTGCTCTGAGCTCTGGCTCCTGGCCAACAGGTAGCTCAGGGTCAAACCTGTGAACTCTCCCCTGGTGGGGTCATTCATCTGAAGAAGGAGCACTCTTCCCCTCCTCCAGAAAGGAACTGATAAAGCGTCAAGGAGCCCCCGGGGATGCCCCAAGCAGATGTGAAAGAGTCCACGGAAGCTTAGTTAGCTCATCGAGCGAAATTCCATCATCCAGGTCCCAGGGTTCAGTGACTCATGCCTCATGCATCCCAGAGTGGGATGAACTTGGTCTAGACTGATGCAGAATTTTCTTCCACTCGTGGCTTGGGGAATTCCAGTGTGCTGTGGAGAAGGCACAAGCCAGTGAGGGCCATCTCTAATGGGCTGTGACCTGTCCCCAGTCTCCAGGAGTCAATGAGGGTGGATGCTACAGACCCTGGCCACAAGCTTTCAAGATAGAAGGGAGAAGAGATGGGTGTCTTCATGACATTCACTAGCCTAGTCATTTATCCCTGGGGCCGCATGACACAGAGAAGGCATTAACTGATACTTCACTCTTGGCTGCTTTTGAATTTATGGGCCTGGAGCTGGGGGAAGTGGCAGAGATAAGGAGTGGGTTTAATTCTCACTTTGATGTGGAAGAGGGAGGGTGAAAAGTGCTTTCAAGGCCAAAGTCATGATGGGCCAGAGAAGAGGCAGAGAGAGAACCAGAGCACACATGCTAGCAGGCATCCCTTCTGTGTGTGTGTGTGTGTGTGTGTGTGTGTGTGTAACATGCATGACGTCAATTGACACAATGGTGGACACTGCCAATAGCCGGCTAGCGGGCACCTGCTGCATGGCTGGGTACGTTGTTATAGGTGCAGAGAAACAACTTGTTAATCACTTTGTCCTGCTTCCTCCCATGTAGGAATCTGGCTGCAATACTCCTGGCAGGAGGTCACCCGGTCCCGCCTGGCTTGAACTACTCCAATGACAAGGAGCTCACCACTGATAGGGGAGCCCCGTCCACTGTGCATGGAGTTTTCACACTGTGCTGAAAGGTGGAGCCCCATCACTCAGCCTTCCAGAGTTTTCGCCCTGAGCTAAAATCTACGTCCCATTCCCCTCCCCTCCATCTCAGTTCTGGGAGTTAGAACAAGTCATGAACACTCTTCTCCGTGGTAGCACTTCAAGATTTGAAAAGAACCAACATGTCTCCCGCTATATCTCTTTTCTTGACACAACAGCTTCATTTCCTCCCATGGTGGGGTTTCCAGACCTGTCTCCACCTGGCTCGTCCCCGCTCTGGGTGACCTAGTTAAGAGATGGCCCCAGAACTTCACTCAGTTCTTGGTCCAAAAAGCAAAGAGTTTAGGGAAATAATTGTTCCCTCAGTGCATCCGTTTACATTCAGCTCTCTAGCAACCATATATACTTTTGGCTTATGCTGAGCCTTTAATCAACCAATCCCCTTCAGATCTTTTAAATATAATTAATGCTTTCAGTCGCTTTCCCTGGCTTTCGCTCTGTGGCTGTTTCCCCCCAATTCCCCGAACCTTGATACAGGACCTTATATTCATCCTTAATATGTTCCAGTTTGGGTCTATTAGTCCAATCTCCTGAGGCTTTTTCTGAACCTCATCCCATAATGTAATATTCCAGCAATCCCTCTGAGTTTTGTGTCTCCTATAAATTTGATGGGTGCACATTTTGATCTCCAGGCAAATTTCTGACCCATGCAGGAGAGGCGGGAGCAGAGCCCTGGGCTACACCATTAGAGACGATCCACGGTGTTCATGCTAAAGCATCAGCAGTTCTCCCCGGGTATCACTAGTCACGATTCCGCCCTACTGCACGTCCACCAAACCTACGTCTCTTCCTCTTGTCCACATGCATTTAATTTCTGCAGCCAAGAGGAGGGATTCTATGACCTCAGCTCCGGACACAACTATTACATGATGTATTTCGGAGAAACTTCTCACATCCCACAAGTATCCCCAGTCGGTGGTCTGGGTGGCTCCCTACCCATTCGGCCAGCCCTGCCAGTGAGCATGCGTGTTAGCCACGAAGTCCTGGACGGAAGAATCTTGTGGCAACTCTCAAAGGTTCTTGTCAGACACCCTGAGATCTAGACCCATTCGTGACCTACTTTTAGTGGATACCAAAGGGAAGAGATCATGGGAGACTGTGCATCAACTGAAAATGTCCTCGGTATCCGTGGCTAGACAGGGACACTACCAGGCTGGCCCATGGTACCCAGTCCGATGTGTGTGACAGCAAGAGGGAGGCCTTCTGGGCAAATGCAAAGCTTAGAGGGCATGGAAGTCACCCAGCCCTCCAGACACCCCCAGCCAGTCCTCTCTGGGTTACTGTAAATTCATTTAGGATCCTGGCTCCTTGTCTTGGAATGATCTTCAGCTTTCCCCAAGGCATGCGTCTTGTCTTCTCAGGTGTAAGGACAGGAGAACAAGGGTTTTGCTTTCCCCGGTGGGGTCCCAGACCATGATGAGTGCTCAGCAGGTGCCCAAAAAATGTCCAGAACAAAGGTCAATCCTAAGCTTTCCTCTCCCGGACCCTCAGCCCTTCCAGAATAAGAAAGAACTCTCCAACATATTTCTTCCAGTCACTTCTCTGCCTATCCCACCCAATCAAGGTTCTGTGATGCATCTTATTTCCCCTTTAAGTGCTTAAGCAGAAGAACTGGCCCACAGAGGTATTTGATAAACACTTCCCTGTTGAAATGCCCTTCACAGAGTTCTTTTCCAGAATCATTTTTTCTTTCTAGTAGCAGATGTGTCTTCTCATTCTCCTAACCCCAAACCCACTGACATGTTGGCCCACCTCTGTTTGATTCCAGCTATCAGTGACTTTCTTATGCCCATAAGCCTGGATCTTTGCTTGATAATCCAAGTAGATTATGCTGAGGTTGTAGGCTGAACAGAAGCCCATGAAAGATGTCACCAATAAGCTCACTGTCCTATTAAGTGGGGTGATGCCGTGAAGGAATGATCTGCTTCTATGGGCTTCTCATCCCTGTTTAGTTTGATTTTTTATCCTGGGCTATTCTTACCTAAGGGGATAATCATCTTTGGTTTTCCTTCCTCAGAAGAAAATTTAGGAGTTGGAGATACTGTTCCTATTAGGTACCAGCATTTTTTTTTGGATACGATGGTGATTGGATGTAGCCCTGCTTTTCGGGAGCTTCTAATCTCATTGGAAAGACTATATGTATGTATGTATGTGTATATATATATATATATATATATATATATATATATATATATATATATATATATAGTATATAGTATGTTTAGTAGTTTATATATATATATATATATATATATATATATATATATATATATATATATATATCTCGACCAGAAATGGTCGTGTACTGCCAGCTGAGAGAAGGCTGGGAATCCTCTTCCACACTATCTCACAGGCTTGGACAAGGTCCCAGCGTGCTCAGTGAGCTAGGAACATATGAGAAAGAGCTGGACAGTGTGAGTCATAGGAAGAAAATGTAAAGACCACAGTCGGGGGAGAACTTCCTCTGAAGCCCAAATAGGGCAATTTCAAGAGTCAACTTTCTTCAGCATTAGTCCTGAGGTCAGTTGGAGGCTAAGGCACAGTGAAGGCTCCTTGGCCTGGATTCGTGGCAGATCCCACAGCCCCTTCGGGGTGACCTCCAACATGTTCCCTGGGGAAGGAACCTTGGCTGCCTCCTCCCCCTGCCCTAACCCCCACAAATGCTGCACACAGGGTAGTGCATGAAACGTGTGCAAATTGTTGTTTGCCTGGAGAACTTGTTGAAAAAAATAAATCTGAAATTCAGCCATAAATACAGAAGAAGCATCACCAGTCCTTTTGCCATTCCCAAATTCTGAGATGGGTCAGGCCACCTGAGGGTCCTCTGAGAAAGCTTAAAAAAAGAATCTGGTCCCATAGTGGGAAACTCTCATTCAGTAGGTCTGGGGTGAGGCTCCAGTGCCTTTTCAAAGTGATTCTGATCCCCAGGTAGATTTGGGGACAACTGTCCTGTGGCAGCCAGCCTCCAAGATGATCCCCAATGACCACGGCCTTTTGTAGTCACACCCTTGGGTAATCTCCTCCCACACGGTACATGATTGGTCTGTGTGACTAACAGGATACAGCAGAAATGGTGGTACATCACTTCCGAGATGAGGTTATGAAAGATGTGGCTTCCATGTTTTGCTCTTTCTCTATCTCTCCTGAGTCACTCACTCTGGAGGAAGACAACTGCCCTGTCTTAAGGACACTCAGGCAGTCTATGGAGAGGCTGTGGGAAGAGGATCAGATGGCTCCAGCTGACAGCCAGAAGGAAACTCAAGCCTGCGCATAACCACAAGTCAACTGGAAAGAGAAGTCCCCAGCCCCAGTACACAGCATGACTGCAACCTCATGAGATGCTCTGAGTCAACAGGCTAAGCCACTCCTGGAGTCCAGACCCTCAGAAACTACTCAAGATAATAAATGTTTGTTGTCTGAAGCTGGAAAATATGAGGTGGGGGTAATTTGTTACACTGCAGTTGATAGCTGATACATTTTCTCAGCCCAAAGGGCAAACTCCCGAACACAGCACAGCCGACCTTTCATGGCTACCTTTCCAATTTCATTTCACACTATTTCTAGATTCACAATTTACAGTCTTGAGTGGTACTGACCTGCTGATCCCCCATTCACACCTCTGTGTCTTTGGCCAATCCATTCTCTGTGCCTGGAATGCCCTTACTCCACTAACAGCATCCCCATCTAGGGAAATCCTCCCCTCAACTGCCCTGGCACCAAAATCAAGCTGGCTTAGGTCCTCCTCCCTAGCGATCACACACACATTTCTCGGAATCAGTAGGTGAGAAGTGAGTTACTTGGAAGAAGGAAAACGCTCACGTGAAGGAGTCATCAAGAGCACAGGACTTGCCTCTATGTTGTTGATCAGCGAATTGTCAAACTTGAACCCAGGAATCCGTTTGTCACTGCACACCACACCCACATCTTCCGAGTGCTTGCAGTCGGCGACACCCCAGCCGTTGGACGAGCAGGCTGCAAGGGTCGCCTCCTTGCCTGTGCAGTAGACGTTGTCCAACCAGATGGGCCCTGAAGGACACAGAGGAGAGAGAAGCCAAGCACTGTGTCAGAGCAGGTTCGAGTCTTTGGGGGCAATAGCGATGTACGCAGAAAGAATCTTTTTCTCATTATGGCAGCTGTGTGTGGTCATCAATTAGTTTTTAGTTTTAAATTTTTAAAAATTTTATTAAGAAATACTTTAAATGGAGAGACTGGGAATTGAACCCAGGAACTCATGCATGCTAAGCATGAACTGTACCACTGAGCTATACCTATCTCCCGATACACTGGTTTTTAATATGTTAAGATATTGCAGACAGTTCTAGACCATTTGGATTCCCTCGCTGGAGGGATATGATTTGGGGGCGGTGGCAGATTGAATGTGATTAGGGTAGAAATCAGATTTAAGCCCGATAGTCACGTGCTGTAAGGGAAAGAACAGGGACTTTGGATACCAAGCTGTATGATACTCATTCTGGCTCAGCCACTTGGCTGTACAACCCCAGTCAGAGCTCCTTTTTGTCATCGGTAAAGCAGGGATAATAATGACACTTGAATGGCAGGGGTGTGTGCCCATTAGAGATAACACATGACTCATGCCTAGTTTACTGTTGGTCCGTAGTTACTGAAAAATGGTAACGGTGATGATGATGATGATGATGATGATGATGATGATGATGATTTTAGTGATGTTGACCGTGGACCAGCTCAGAGGGCAACTCATCGTGCAAGGCCAACTTCCTAAGCCCCGAACCCTGGTCCTTTCAGTGCTCTTCTCACTTCCTGATGTTTCCTGTCCCCTGATTCAGTGATGGCCGAGCCAGACTAACCCACAGAGACGCCCCCTCACATCTCAGAAGTCAGGTGAAGGCAGGGCTGTCTTGCGGCCAGGCAATCCGCCTGGGAGGCTCTGTGGCACTCCGCTCATCTCCTGTGCCTTTACCTGAGTTGCAGTAAGTAGAGAATTCCGAGTGCAAAGTGCTAGAAGGTTAACGGCAATGAGACACCACCTGACCCCATTAGGATGGCTACTATCAAACCCCCACCCCAGAAAATAATAAGTGTTGGCAAAGATGTGGAGAAATTAGAACCCGTGCACACTGTTGGCAGGAATGTAAAATGGTATAGACCCTATAGAAAACAGTATGGTGGTTCCTCAAAAAATTAAAAATAGAATCACTATATGATCCAACAATTCCCACGGCTGGGTATATACCCAAAAAGAATCAAAAGCAGGGTCTCAAAGAGATGTTTGCACACTCACGGGCATTACAGCATCATTCACAATAGCCACTGTGTCCATTGACAAACAGTGGACTATACATCCACTGGAATATTATGCAGCCTTAAAAAGGAAGGGGACTCTGACACGTGCTACAATACGGATGAACATTGAGTTAATTGTGCTAAGTGAAATGTCAAGTCACAAAAAGGCAAATACCACATGATTGCACATATATGGGGAACTTGGAGTAGTCAGAATCATAGAGACAGGGTGCAGGACAGCGTTTACCAGGAGCTGGGGGAGGGGAAACAGGGAGTGGTTGTTTAATGGGTATAGAGTTTTAGTTTTGAAGATGAAAAGAGTTCTGGAGATGATTACACAGCAGTGTGAATGTTCTTAACATTACTGAACTGTACACTGAAAAATGGTTAAGATGGCCATTTTCTGTGAGTGTATTTTGCCACAATTAAAAACTTTTTAAATGTTTAAGTGCTAGAGGGTGATTTTTACAAGTATCACTACAAAACGAAAGGAAACAAAGTCAAACCTGTCCCTTTTCTCCCGATTTTATGAGGACTCCACAGTAGGGTGGAGTCGGATAACCTGGGTGCAAATTCTCTCTGCCTCGGGCTTGGGCGCTACGTGATTGGGTCAGCCACTTCACCGCGCCCATTTCTCCAGTGAAAACAATGATATCCGCAAACAGGTTGCCATGGAGATTCAATGAGATAACGTGTGTGCCCAGTACATGTTCATCCTCCCTTTCCCCTTCCTCCTTCCAATAAGTCAGAAAAGCAATGAATTCTGTTGTTTCCATGACGCAAGGAAAAAGCAGACAGAAATGCTCCCATTGTAGAGATGAGAAAACTGAGGAGAATTGGAGGCTCTTCAAGGTCAGGCGGGCCCTGAGGCCCCACTGAAACATGCCTGCTGTGACAGATGGCTGCTCAGGGCTCAAAGGAGAGCACCTCAGATGCATTGAGGGGAACAGAGGGCTTATTGAAAACATCTGGGCTGAGGTTTTCCAATGGGTTTCTCAATTTGGCCTCGTTTCCAAGCCGTCAGACTCCCTAATCAATGGCTGTTTCAACAACAAACCAATGTTTGTCTTGCTAAGTACTAGCAATGGAAAAGACCCTCCACGTTTGGAGGGGGCCTCTCCTTGGGAACCCTCTGTAGCGAAGCTGCTGAATGGACAGGGATGGGGAAAAGAAGCAGAGCCCTCATTCCACCCACAGCGAGAGAAACCAGCCCGGCTGAGGGATGCGGAAGAGGACGGCGCGCAGCGAAAAGCTGCCAAACAGATGCCCCGGGGCTTGCTTTGCTCTCTGATAAGGAGCAGATGAAGGGAGCACCCTGGAGAGCTAATGGGAATGGTTACCCCAAAGAGCCGCTTTCTTAAGAAGGCTCCATTCACCCCCAGTAATTCTACCCTCTGCGTATTTCCACCCAGTGCCTTTCTTAGGTGTGGAAACGCACACTTGTGCTTAGCCCAGGACAGCGTCACCATGCATGGTAAACTAGTTTTGCCTGATTTCCTGACTTTTTTTTCTTCTTCTTTTTCCTGAATGCTTAATGCCTGTCAACTAGGCTGTTCTGATTCCAAAGCAACCAGCTTCTGGTTCTGCAGCTGGCATGCAGCATGGTTCTGGGCGCAGCTCAGCACCTGCCTTCGCAGAGCTGCTGGGACGGGGGCACCTGGGACACAGATGGGGCATCAACTTTGGACACAAAATGCCAATCAGTCAGAAGCAAAATGTCATTTTACTCTTTCCTCTCAATTACTCTAAGAAATTCTTCTCCTGATGAAAGGAGGAGAGATGTGTAAACAAGTTAACAGACCATTTGGAGGATAAAGATCATAAATATAATTCTATGTGAATGCTGGCATTCCCCCAGGCTGTCAGGGCAATGGCCATCATTCAAGGTAGAATCTTCAGGGCCCCTCTGTGGTCATCTGCTTGGCTTTGTCTCTCTGATCTGAAGAATGCACGGTGGGGAGGGCTGTGAGAGGGGGTCACATCTAACCTGAGATGTGAAGACTGGCAAAGGAGAGCAACCGTCTGAGGTTCGGGGGGTGGGGAGACCATCCAGAGGATGAGAAATGGGGCAGCCGTCCCCCTCAGAACTCTGTAAAAGGGCCCAGGATTTCCCTGAGTTCAGAGATGCTTTGAGAGAAGAGACCTATTGACAACAAACCAATGTTTGTCTTGCTAAGTACCAGCAATGGAAAAGACCCTCCACGTTCGGAGGGGCCTCTCCTTGGGAACACTCTGTAGCGAAGCTGCTGAATGGACAGGAATGATAAAAAGAAGCAGAGCCCTCATTCCATCCACAGTGAGAGAAACCAGCCCGGCTGAGGGATGGAGAAGAGGACAGCGAGCAGCAAAAAGACGAAGAACAGATACCGTCAGGTGGGGCTGGAAAACCCACCACAGGTCAATGGGTGCCCTCCCTAGACGGTTCCATTACTAGAGCCTGAACTTCGGAGGGGGAGGTGATGGAGACACACCTGGAGGGGTGGCATCTCACGGGCTCACCTGCAGTGTTTCTAGTTCATCCACGGAGCTGACTCACAGGTTAGACCCCATCGGAGCACACCCCAGGGCACTCACTGGTCACGAGGCCAAGTGCTATTTGGCTTGTTTTTAATATTCTTCCAAATCAAACTGCATCAGTCGGGGTTTTAACATTTGCTGAGTGTCCACCATGTGCCCAATGTTAAAAGTCCTAAACTGATGCTGATGAGATTCAAATACTTTTATATTTAAAAGGTCTGTCATGATAAACTGAGTACCTCTTTATGCAGACAGCATAATCCTTAAGTCCTGGAGACACGACAGTTAAAAAGCTTTAGCATTTTTCTCCCTTCCTTTCTTTGACACTTACCCTTGCTTGAGTCTTGAGGGTCTCAATATCCACAGAGATGACCAGTCCAGTACTCTTGGTTACTACACCTCCTCTCTCCAAGGACTCTCCTCTGCCCTAAATCAGCTAGCATCTCATGGTCATAGCTTAGACCTTGAATTAGAAATAATCGCACCCCCGCCCCAATCTCTATTCCATTTCTGCTGTGCCTCTGCACCCCCGACCCCATCTTTCCAGCATACTCCCTCCAGTATTGCAATCTCAACCCACAATCCATCGATCCTAGCAGCTTTCCCCAGTCCTTCAACTGCTCCACGGACCTTTCTCCTTATCCAGCTTGGATTCCATGAACCATGATTTTAATTGCTCCCTTGAATATTCCGTCTACTCTGGAGAACTTTTCTCCCTTCATCATTCTTGGATGAAGTCTGAGCCAGGCTAACTCACCTCTCCAGCTATCCCATGCCTGCTCCTGCGCAGATGAACATGGGATGGGGAAAAACCATGCCCATCTTATCTGATGACAGGTTAAATTTTAAGTTTGGGTAGAAATAAAATAAAGTTGTCACTGGAAAAAAAACCCCAAAGTCATTGGAAAGTACTTGTTATAAGATAATTAGGCTTAGAGAGCCTGGAATAGAAAACATAAATCTGAGGTTACCCCCTGGATCACCCAGCTAGTAGAATAAATAGAGATGTGAAAGTATGGAGAAGTGTCCAGAGTTTTGGTAAAGAAGACAGGAAATGGGTTTTAGAAGCCCAGCATGTGCTAAGGAACCCAGAGTCAGTTTCAGAGAACACCTTAACAGCAGTCTCTTGATCAAGTTATTCCAAAGGGACATATTCAATGGCACAGAGGTGAAATGTAGGAGATGGGATTTCCTTTCTCCTGTAATTTCTAGAAGAACATAAAGCAAGGGTTGGAAGAGACCATAACGATGATCCATTGCAGTGACTCTGAACCTGGCTATGTGTACAATCACCTGAGAGGCTTCTAAAAGTTACAGAGTCCTAGACTCCAGCACAGACCAGAACACCACAGGTTAGCACCCCATGATTCTCATGCAGTCAGTGTGGTGCTAACCCATTTGTCCAGGATGCGATTTTGGGCACCTCTGCTTTAGTCCAGTGGCCAGGCCCACACTGATACCTGTAAGGTTTTAAATAATGTCCTTGACCCTTATCCACTTTCCCACTTCGGACCACAGATCATGACAGTTTCAAGAGTTCTTAGAGAGCCTTAAGTTCCAGATCGGGAAACTGAGACCAAGGAGGTACGCGTCTCCCCGTAAAGCATAGGTCAGCACAGGACTGAGTCCAAGGTTCTGGGCTTCAACACCTGCCCTCCCCCAAAATGACCACTCCCACTCCCCAAACTGTTTTCAGTGTATTCATTGAGCTTAATAAGGGAGGAAAGAAAAGGCCAATCAAAGTGAAAAACCCAAAGCAGTTCTGTTCCTGTCCTGGCCAAGCCCAGAAGGATATGTTAGTGTTAAAAGTGTGGGCTCTACCTGGCCAGGAGGGTGGAGAGTCAGGGAATGCTAGCCTGTGGGCAGCCTCTGTGACAAAGAGCAAAAGGGACCCCTTTGAGGGGGTGGTTGGAGGAAAGGCACTGTCTCCCCTGGCTGATGCAGCCCCAGGCAGGCACCTGGCTTGGAGAGATGAGCGCAGACTGACTTCAGACACTACCTAGGGTTCCCCATCCATCCGATTCGCCCAAGATGAGTTTCCCAGGCTGCCAGACTTTGCGCACTAAAGCCAGGGAAGTCCCGGGCAAAGCAGGACTGTTGGTCCCTATACTCCTCCCCAGCAGCCCTCTGCTCCCACCTTCCAGCACAGACACAGAGGATGCCTAGATAGAGTGTTAACAGGAGTTTGCACTTGACAGTAACTGCAGCTTCGATTACCAGGCTAACTGCGTGTAAGCCTGGTCCCGGGTGACACTGGTGCTCAGTTCCACAGCACAGAGCGATTTACCTTCCCCTTTGCCGTAGGAGGAGCTGGCGGTCCAGGACTTGGCCTCCACGTATCCCAGCTCCCGGCAGACAACGTGGGCGGCGTGGATGGAGAAGTCGTCGTCGCACACGGTGCCCCACTGGCCGTTGTAGTACACCTCCACCCGCCCCTCGCTGTGCTTCCTCTTCTGGCCGGCCAGGCGCAGCTGGATCTTGACCACGTCGGAGGCGGGCTGAGGCCGGTGGTACTCGGGGGCGGGCTGCTGGAAGTACTCGGGGTAGTGGGGCCAGCTCTCGTACTGCGCCAGGCTCAGGGAGGGCAGGAGGGACAGCACAGCCAGACAGCTGCAAAGGCAGGAGCCTCCACGCCTCTCCATCCCTGTCCTCTGGCTGGAGGACCTGACGGAGCGGGACACTTGGCGCTTAGGAGGGAAGGCAGGAGTTTCCTGGAAGAGAGGAGAGGTTTGGGTCACAGACATCCACAGATCACCCCGTGATTTCGTACTCCTTTGCTTAAGTATTGAAAACTCTTCCCATTCCAGACGCCAGCCTCCTCTCTTCTCCCACCTCACACTTCAGCCAGACAGGTCTGGGAAGTCCTGCCTCTTTGCCCACCGCCTTCCGAGATCTCTGAAATGCTTTTTTCCAGTAGGGCTCCTGGCAGGAAACAGCACACTCAGACTGAGTTTAAGGAGAGGCTTTTTTCCTTTTTAAAATTGAAGTAGAGTGGATTTACAATGTTGTGTTAGTTTTAGATGATTCACAGCTAAATGATTCAGTTATACATACATATACATATATGTGTATTCTTTTTCAGATTCTTTCCCATTACGGGTTATTACAAGATACTGAATATAGTTCCCTGGGCTCTACAGCAGGCCCTTATTGTTTATCTATTTGATATATAGTAGCCTGTATCCATTCATCCCAAATGCCTAATTTATCCCTCCCCATTCCCCTTCCCCCGGTAACCATGTTTGTTTTCTATGTCTGTGAATCTGTTTCTGGTTTGTACGTAAGTTTATTTGTATCTTTTTTTAGATTCCACATATAAGTGATATCATATGGTATTTTCCTTTCTCTTTCTGGCTTACTTCACTTAGAATGAAGATCTCCAGGTCCATCCATGTTGCTGCAAATGGCATTATTTCATTCTTTTTTATGCCTGAGTAGCATCCTATTGTATATATACTCACAACTTCTGTATCCATTCATCTGTCGATGGAGCCCTCCCTCCTCTGGATGTTAGCTGACCTGGATGGAAATGGCTTCTTCCAGGTGCTGAGAATAACCCTAGGAGACTTCGACTCTCCATTTCTACTTGCTCACAGGGCTGCTATTCGCTCTGTCATGTATCTGAATCCTCCTATGGCTCTGCTTTCAGGCCCCAGGCCTTCAGACACCCCCATATGCTGCCCACCCACACCCCGTTATGTCTTATACTCTGGAATCAAGATGGGTGAGGCCGCAGAATGAGGAGGTCAGAGGCAAACCCCTGAAACAGCTCTGACACCGGGCCTGTCCTTAGCTGAACTGCAGTTTAGCCTCAGAGAGCAGCCCTGAGGTGCCTCTCACCCTTGGGGAAGCCAAGGATGTGCAGGCAACAATTCCATCCCTTTTCATAGTTTCCATCCCTGAGGGCTGCCCAGGTTGAGTCCAAAGCACAGAGAGGTGAGGCATAAAGCTCTTTGTGGCAAACAGGAGAAGGGCTGAGTGGCCTGTCATCAGTCCAGAGAGGACTAGACAGTGGGGAGGGGTGGGGGAAGAAGGGGAGGAGAACAGACTCTGCAACCAGACAGTCTGAGTTTGAATCTTCCTTCTGATACTGGCCAGCTGTGTGACCTTGGGCAAAACACTTAACTTCTCTGTGCTTTTCCATGTTTCTTATCTTTAAAATGGGAATAATAATTGTAACTAGCTCACAGAATTGCTGTGAAGATTGAAAGAGTGGTACATAATAAATCCTATAGGAGCATTTGCTAAATAAAAATCTTAAATTCTCAAGATTGTGGTCACCATACCCACCTATGTCTAAGAATTCCAGAATGAGGTCATATAGCAGGAAATAAAGATATATGCTCATGAGCATTGGTTCTTCCATAATTCAGAGAGAGGAGAAGCTACCTTAAAGGACTGCAGGTGTGTTTCATGGAAGAGGACATAGTTTGGGGATGTGGGGGCCCAAAAGGTCACCAGGACCAGCCGAATACACTTTAACCAGGTACAGAGCGTTAGTCCGATCGTATCCCTCAGTTCATGGCACACCGCCATCAAGGAAGGATCAGCTAACTTCCCAAGAGCAGCCCAGGAAGGATGCGGTAACGTGGAGAGAGGCAGTTCCACATCTGTCGGGACAACCAGGCAGTGTGCAGTCCCGTCGTGGGTGCTGGAGCAGAGATGCCACTGCTTGGGGGACAGTCAGGACCAAGGACTTGGGGAGGCTCTCTGGTTCACTGGAGATCCAGCCAACCTCACCCTGTGACTCACAGACAATGTCAGAAAGTTGTGGGGCTCCTGCAACGGCCCCCTTCAGACCACAACCAAACAAGCTAGCACGTGCCTCTGCAGGGACCCCTCATTGCCTCCTCCATCCCTGCTGCACTTCATTCCCATCACAGCACATCTGCGGCCACGAGCTCATCTATGCCTCACCAGAACCTCCAGGGGGTGGAGGAGCCAAGGATGAGGGTTCTTATTCTATGAGGGAGATAACTAGGAACCAGAGAGGTCTTTTCTATTAGATGCCACTGGAGTTGCACAGTTAGTGCAGGCAAAGCCAGAAGTCCTGAAGTTACCAAAACATAAACGATCCACTATCATGTATAAAAAGTGTCCAAATTCAGAGGGGAGGGTATAGCTCAGTGGTAGAGTGCCTGTTTAGCACGCATAGGTCATGGGTTCAATGCCCAGTACCTTCACTAAAAAATAAATAAGTAAACCCAATTACCCCCACCACTTCCCCCCCAAAACAAACAATTTTTTAAAAAAGATTTTTTAAAAAGTCCAAATTCCACGTGGGACACAGACGCCTTTACAATGTGGCATATGCCCACATCCCTGACTTCAGTTCCAGTCTCACTCCTCTCCTTGCCCTCACTCCAGTTCATCACCTGCCACCCTTCCGATCATATCAGCCTAGACCTGGTTAAGTTTTCCCATCTGGATCCACATGCTCTGTCCCCACCTCTCCCCCTGCCTCCAAATAGCATATGTCACAACCCTTCCTGTTCTTCAAGGAAAGCATCCCAGGTGCTCCTAATCAGAATAAATGTCTTCCCTGATTCTCTTTAAAATTGCTTTCTGCTTGTAAAATTGCTTTACACCGTTGCCACGTCAGGCTCTGCTAGACCCGAAGCCCCAGGGGCAGAAGCCGTCTCCTGTCATTTTCAGACAGTACCACGTGCTTCTGGCTACAGCAGGCTAACTTGTAACAGATAAACGTTCCTGCCAAGAACAACAGGAAAAGGTAGATAAATACTAACGGTATGCATCTGAGGTCACTGGACAGCCATCGAGGCAGCAAGGATCCAAGAAGCCAAGAATCCAGAGAGATGGGGAGTGCAGTGAGGAGAGTCTGACACTCGTGTCTGCTTTTCCCCTTAAGGCACCTGCCAATTCCAAGGCTGGGGAGCTAAGCAGAGCTTCAGGCAGCCTCCCAGGGCTGAGGACACAGAAGCTGGAGTTCAGAGCCTGCCAAGGAAGAAGCGCCCTGCTAAAGAGCCCAGGCTTTCAGACGGGAGGTCCCTAAACTCTAGAAGTTAGGGCAGAGTTATGGTCTACACATACTAACTACAGAATTGGAGTTCTAAAACAGGAGAGAAAGAGGTTATGGGAGAAACAGTTAAGAGATAACGGCCAAGAATTACACAAAATTGATGAAAGATACCAAGGCAGAGCAGGAGAGTTGACAAAGAAAACCACACCAGGGCACATCGAAATCTGACCATGGAAAATCCAAGACAAAAAAGATTAGGGGGGAGGTGCATGCACGAGGTCCTGGGTTCAATGGGTACCTCCATTAAAAAATAAATAATAAAAACATAATTATCTTCCTCCCAACAAAAAAAAAAGAAAGGAAGGAAGGAAGGAAGGAAGGAAGGAAGGAAGGAAGGAAGGAAGGAAGGAAGAGAGAAAGAAAGAAAGAAAGAAAGAAAGAAAGAAAGAAAGAAAGAAAGAAAGAAAGAAGCTTAAAAAAAAAAGCTTAAAAGCAGCCAGAATATAAAAGGAGCAATAGTAAGGCTAACAAGCTGAATTCTCAACAAACAAACAAGAACAAACAAACAAAAAAACCAAGGAAACAAGATAATCACATGAGATTCTCATAAGGGATGAAAAAAATAAGTCAATCTAGAATTCTGTATCCCCGGGAGGGAATAAGCGTTTTCACAAAAGTGGAAAGAATTTGTCATCAGAGGATTCCACAAAATGGAAATACTAAAGGAAGTTCTTCAGACCACAGAACAAATCATCCTGGATGTGGGAGGAAGGGGATGGAAGGGGGAGCTATGGAGGTAAATCTAAATGAAGATCAACAGTGGAAACCAATAATAACTTCTTGTGGGGTTTAAAATCTGCATATCATTAAAGTACATGGCGGGGACAAAAGCACAAAAGGCAGGATGGGTTTAAATGGAAATGTTCCAAGGATCTCGCGCTACCTGGGGAGTGGTAAAAGTGCCCTTTCCTGTTGGACTTCAGTAAGTCTAAATAGTTTTTGTCAGATGCATATTGTAGTTTTTACGTAGTCACCATAAGAAGAGGAAAAAAAAAGTGAAATGAGTGGGTTAATAAAGGGGGGGAATGATAAAGTTATTTTTTTAAACCCTAAGTAAGTCAAAATTAGAGCAAGAAAGCAGAGAAGAAGTAACATAGAACAGTTGTCAGAAGTTGAAACAATAAATAAGATGGTGGATTTAAACCCCAGTATATCAGTAATTATATTTGAGGAAAAAAAATTCCAATGAAAAGACAAAGACTGTCACAATGGATTTAACAAAGCAATACTACTTTGTGTTTCCTACAGAAGATACAGAGGATTAAAGGAAATGGTTGGAAAAAGATTTACCAAGCAGACACTAATCAAAAACAAAAGTTGGGTACAAAGTGAGATTAAAGTCTACTTTAAGACAAAAAACATTACTGGAGACCAAAAGGAAACGTTTGAAGAGTCAGTTCACCAGGAAGATATTAACTCATCTCAGTTTGTATATATAGACACAATATATGTAAATTAAATATTGATAGAATTAATAGGAAAAAAGCAACTAATCTATGATCATAGTGGGAGATTTTACACATCTTTGGTCAGGAGAGGCAGACAAAAAAATCTTTGCACTAAAGGTGTGAACAACATCATAAACAAATGTGACTTCAGTGACAAGTTTGTATCAGCTGGACTCAACAAGTACAGAAGACAGATTCACTTCAAGTCCACATGCAAGATTTA